AGCCCGGCCGAGCTCCCGCCCGGCGGCGCTCACGGCTGTGTCCCGCAGAGACGTCAAGTGCGGCACGCTGCTGTGCCTGAGCGACAAAACCCAGCCCATCCTCGGCACCGGCTACTTCTCCGTCGGCTACTACTTCGGCCGCTTCAAGTGCAAGGCGGTGATCGCGGGCAGCGACGCCGGCGAGGCGGCCGAGCTGCGGCTGGTGCCCACCGGCGCCAAGTGCGGCGAGGAGATGGTGAGAGCCGTGCCGGGGCCGTGCCGGGCCGGGGTGGGTGAGCGCCGGCCCCGGGGCAGCCTCAGAGCCGCCCTGCCTCCCCCAGGTCTGCTACGCCGGGCGCTGCCAGAACCTCCTGGTCTACGGCGACAAGAACTGCTCGGCCAAGTGCAACAACCACGGGGTAGGCGGTGGGCTCGCCCCTCCCGGAGCTGCTGCGGCTCCGCCACCGCCCTGACCCCGCTCTGCCCGCTCCCCCCAGGTGTGCAACCACCGGCGGGAGTGTCACTGCGACCCCGGCTGGGCAGCGCCCTACTGCGAGCAGGAGATCTCCGGGATAGCCGCAGGTACGGTGTTGAGGAGGGAGCCCGGGGGGGCTGGCACCGGCCGGGAGGTGCGGCTCCGTGCCGAGCCCGGGTTGTTCCCCGCAGGGAGCGGCAGCGCGGTGCTGGCGGCCGGGCTGGCCGTGCTGGCCCTGGCCGGCGTCGGGCTGGGCAGCGGCGTGGTGCTCCTCAGAGCCAGGGCGGCGCGGCGCTCGCACAAAGGGTAATTCCCGTCTCCGCTGCTCGGGGCTGAGCTCCAGCGCTGCCCCCCGAGCAGCCCCACATGGTGCCTGCGTCCCACAGGAGCTCCAGCGGGACTCCCTCCGGCCTCGCCAACCCGCTGTTCCAGGAGGGCGGCCGGGCGCGGCCGGGGCGCCGCCAGCTGTCCCTCGGGGACATCGGGCAGCCCAGCCTGCTCAGCAGCACGGCGGCCCCGCGGGCGGCCCGGGCGCACAGCCCTGTGCTGGCCCCGCGGCCATCGGCACCCGGCCCGCAGGGACCCCCTCGGGCCCCTCCGCGATGGCCCCCGCAGGTAAGCACGCACCCTCCCCACGGCCCCAGCCCCACCCGTGCCGGGCACATCCCTGCGGGAGCCCTTCCTCCGCTCCTGCCCGCTCCCGGTCCCTCCTGGGTGCCCAGGTGAGGCAGTCGGGTCTCTCCTCCCTGCCAGGAGAAGCCGAAGCCGCCCAGCAAACCTCTCCCGGCGCTGAAGAGCAAAGTGCCGAGCTACGGCGAGGGGCCGCCGGCACCGTCCCTCCCACCGACCCCCTTCCAGCGCTGTCCCCCGCCAAAGGTGGCCCTGAAGCCGCCCCCGGCCAGGAGGTGACCAAGGATGCTCCATCCGCCACCGCGGCCGGCCGAGGAGCGGCACAGCTGGGCGGGCGGCACGGCCGGGAGCCATCGTGTCGCTTCCAGCCTTACTTGAATTGCCGGCCGGCCCCTCGGACCCTGCCCGGGGCGGGCACCAGTGTTTACAGATCCTCGAGTTGTGCCTTAATGGACTCGGCAGCCCCACGGTCGTCCCGGGGGAGCCGCCAGCCGGGGCTTCCCAAGGAAACGCGGAGCGGGGACAATGCCAGCTCCGGCTTGGAGGACCAGCCCACGTTGGTCCAGGCTCTCCTGCGCCCTGGGAGCTGCTGCCTTCTCTCCCGACGTCCTGAATGTGTCCTGTCCTCCTGCCCTTCCCTGCCGGGGCTGCAGAGAGGAGCTCTGGCATCACGGGGCAGGAGCACCGCGCCGTGGGGACCGTGCCCAGGAACACCGCCCTGGCTGGGGACATCACACGGGGGGATGTCACCAGGGGCCGTGGCAGGTCCAAGCTGGGCTTGGCCTCCCCACGGGGCTTTTATCTCTGGAGTCGTTCCTTGAGTGTTCAAAAGGGAATTCCCTGGAAGCCTTTTTACTGCAGCCATTTATTTATGACCCTTACGTGACCATTTTGAGCCACTTGCTGTAAAACCAGGCCTCCCATTTTTGATATAATTTAGGTTCAGGGCTTTTATACCAATAAAGACCGAAGGTAGAGGTGTCATGGGGTGTGTCTGGGCAGGAGGGGACAGCGGGGCAGCAGCAGGCAGGGAGCTGTGCGGGGATCACAGAAGGGGGAAAAGGCTTGGAGCTCAACTCCCCGATCCAGTGCCAGAGCCACAGGGGCCAAACTGCAGCACATTTTGCCAGCCACGCAGAGCCAGGCTGCCCCAGGATGCTGCAGGGAGTCCCCTCATGCTCAGCACCATCCTGGCTGTGGCCTGCTTTGAGCACAGGCTCCTCACGGGGCTCCCAGGGTGGCACTCGCTGCAGCTGAGGACATCCACACCATGCAGTGCTGCTGCAGGGAGAGAGGTGAGGGGTCCCCCGCTTCATGTGCCACCAGCCCTAGGACACATAAAACCATCCCAAAAAATGGTAACAAAATAATTTTATTCTGCTTTATCAAAAGAACTTAACTGTGAATGTAAACCTGACCGGATGTATCGTGTTTCCTTAAGGAGATGCGCATCCAGGGGCAGACCCCTTTAGTCACAGGCCCACCCAGGCCATGGGAGCGGAGAGAAAAGCCAGTTCTATCCCAAAATCCTGGCTGCAGCCATGTCCCTGCTCACAGCTGGGGCTCAGAGGGCAGCACAGCCCACACCAGGGTGCCAAAGCTGTGGCCACCCCTCCCTCCTGCACACGCTGGGGCTGCTGCAGCGGGGAAGCAGAGAGGGTGCAGGAGGCTGCTGCAGAAGGCACTGGGCATCACATGCTGCTGCAGCACCTGGGACCACAGGAGCACCCCCTGGGGTCCCTCAGACCACGCAGGGAGGGGGCTGATGCATACAGAGGGACACTGAGCCGGTGACAACCACTTAAGGCAGTCATGGCGCAGGGAGGCACAGCACGGCTCGGAGGCAAAGGGAAGCAGCTCTTCCAGCTTTCCTGCTCCCTGCGTGGACATCTTGCTCTGATCACTGCAGGAGAGGTGTGAACTGCCTGGGTATTGCTCCCAGCAGTTCCCCTCGTGCCCTTGTCACTCCCAGGCTGGCAGAACCTACTCTGTCCAGCCATTCCTGATGCCCAGTGTGCCCAACCCCAGTCACACATGAAGAAAATCGTGGAGACTACATTCCTGGCAGCATTCCCTCCAGCAGTGCTTCTAGCCTATAGAGCCTCCCTGATCCCAAATTCCAACCAAAGCAGGTGTGAGGAGAGGCTGTGTCTGTGCCAAGGGGCTGCTGCAACACTGAGGAGGTGGCAGGGCAGAGATGAAACTACTACACAGCTTCCTCAAAACCCATCCCACAGGAAAAAAGGGGCCCCTGCAAGCCAAGCAGCATTTCCAGGGGACATTTCAAACGCTACTGAACACTCTGCCCTGGTGCCCAGCTCCTGCCATGGCTGGGCTGGAAGAGGAGCTGGGATCCTGGAGCAGAGCATCAACTGAGCCCTGGGGAGTTTGCAGACAGACAGAGAACAAGAAAGACCACCTGAAACCGCTGCAAAGTCCCACAGTTATGTCTCACACGCTGCAGGAGGGGCAGGGCCAACACAACCCTGCTGTGCCCCAGAGATGGAGGAGGGCAGGGCAGGAGCAGGGCAGCAGGAGGCACCATGTGCTGCTGGGGACACTGCCATCCCTGGAGCCCAGCCACACATGGTGGGGACACAGCACGACAAAGCTGAACCACATAGCTCCTCTGGGGAGCACCAGCACAGGCAAAGCTGCTTTGGGCTGAATGTTTGTCAATGGCACAAGCTAAACACATCCCTCCCCTGGCCATGAGGCTGCAGATGGAGCCAGGGACAGAAGATCCCAGCAGGCTGAGTGCCCCGAGTGTCACCACCCCCTAGCCCCTCCAAGGGTGGCATGGCTGTGCCAAGGGGACAGGACAGCAGCAGGGAGAGCAGGTCTCTGAGCATGCAGCAGGCAGTGCTGGGGTGCTCCCAGCTGGAGGATGGCATTCCAGCCCTTGCCAGCTGCTTCCCCAGCCACTGCACCCCAGATCCTCACAGAACACGAGGAGGAGCAGGTCCTAAAAGCAAGCACACCCTCACAAGCAGAGGGGAGGAAGGAGGGAAAGCAGAAAGCAGCTTTGTCCCAGCAGATTCCCCCCTCCCCGAGCACCTCTCCCTCACCCTGCCACGGCACACCAGGAGCAGGGTCGGATATATCACAGCACAAATAAGGACAGATCCATCTACCAGCAAGCCCGGCCAGGGACAAGAGGACCAGGGACACACTCCTTGCCATGGCTGTTCAAGGACACACAAAGCAGGTCCCACTTCCTGCAGCAGTGGATTTTGCACGGAGAAGCAGCAATGCCTCACCTACTTTGCAGCTGTAGTGTCAAACATCTGATCTGCTGCACAGCAGGGTCCTTTCACTCTTCTCTTCCCCTTCACTTTGCCAGCATGGCAGAGCAGTGGAAATTCAGCCCCCTTTCCCTGGTGAATGACTTACAGGGAGGCTGGAATCTGAGCAAAGACTTGACGGGCTCTGTTCCCAAACAGCTGCTCTGAGGTGCTCCTGAAAATCTGGTTTAGGAGGCAATGAGACTCAGCCACGCAGTGGGAACACCAGAGTCAGTCCCAGGCAGCCAGTGTGAGGCTTTGGCTTGGAGAGAGGGGTTGCAGAATCCCTTCAGAGGCTGCTTCCTCCAAGTTGTTATCCAGCACTGTTGTTTACAGGAATATCACGGCTGTGCAGATCCTACTCCCATAATCTATTCCACAGCAAACCACTCCTCACCCCGAGCAGGAACAAGCTGGCCAAGGAGAGTCCACTCCACTGGAGTCCTTGAGGGGAGCGAGACAGCGTCAACAGAAACCTCCACCAAGCAAAGCTTCAGCAGCAGGACGAGGGGAACCTCCTCTTCACTCAGCCTCAGCCAGGAGTGCTGAGCAATGACCTGTGTGCAGCAACACAGCACTCAAAGCCACATCTCCTTCCTGCAGAGCAATGCCTGCTAAATAATTCCTGCCCCGGGAGGCTCTCCTGATGTCTGTCCTTTAATATTCCAGTATAGGTATGTTAGTACAGGATTATCTCTCCTTTGGAAGCACCAATTTAACAGGGGGAGAAACAGAAGAGGCAGAGCCCTTGCAATCTGTTGCTAGAAGAAAATCAACCCAAGTGCCACCTATACAGAAGATGTCCAGGCACGTGCTGCATCGCCCCAGGGCCTCGTCCCCGGGCACAGCCGGGCTCACTGCTGAGCTACACCAGGCTCCCTCTGCCTCCCTCAGCCCGTGCTCTCCTCGCCTCTGACAGGCCTTTCTCCAGAGCTCTCTGGGGCTTCCTGGGCAGGAAGGCTGCTTTCGTGGGCAGTCCTCAGGCCGGCCTGCTGGAAGGCACAGGAATCCAGGAACACGCCGGGGATGCGGTCGCCGAAGTACAGCTTGCTGTTGGCAGCTATGGCCTGGTACTTCATCAGCTCCAGATACTCAGGGGTCAGCTTCAGCTACACAAAACAGAAACCAGAGACCCTAAGAGACAACTTTCTGAGTCCTGCAGCATTACATTTGTCCTAGATTGCAAGGCAGGATGTATTCCATTTGCCATCTGTATGGCAGTTGTCTTAACTGGGCAGTTTTCCTTATCTATTCCACAACCAATCCTCCCTCTGGGGAGACATCTACTGATAATGGGCTATTGAATGTCTGATGAGAACTACAACATTCCACTGTGAGGTGCTCCGCCCAAAGGGAGGAGCCAAGCATTCCTAACTGGATGTAATCTGAGTTTTTGGGACACTAAGCTCAGCCTTTCCACTGGATTCCCAGAGGAACAGCTGGGGTTTTCCACCGTACCTTCAGAGGAAGACTACACCCTTTTACAGGATCACTGCTCCCACAGAACCACATCTGCCTCTCCAGGAGGACTGCAGCCAGTCCAATTTGGACTGCTACCAACACCCTGACCAAAAGGATGTCAGGCTGTATTCTGACTCTGTCCATAGTTTTTCTTTTGAATTATTGCATGTATTTTTGTTTTTTTCCCCTTTTCCTAACAAACTGTATTTCTAACTTGGAGTCTCTCACTGGTTTTGCTTTCAAACCAGAACACATTTCCTGTCAGGCAGCTGCCTCCTGGGGTGTGGGCTGTTAGATCAAGTGCTCTTCCAGCTGATCTCCTGTGTGGAGGAAGAGTGAGTGCCCAGCTTCCCAGAGCTCACCTTGTTGGAGTCAGCCAGCTTCCGAGCAGTGTAGTACTCTGCATCAGCTTTTGCCTTCTCCCTTGCCAGGAATGCAGCATCTAACACAGCAGCAGAGGAGGGACAGGAAAGAAAGCATTAGGAAGTGAATGGCCCCATATCACACTGAGCCCTCATCCCATGGGGACCATCTGACCCAGGAGTGCCTGTGACAGCCTAGCTGGCCCTGTACCTGCCCTGCAGCCCCCTGGAGAGCTCCATGCACGGGGCAGGAACCATCCCATGCACAGCCTTGCAGCCCTGCAGCACCCTCGATGACTTTTGCAGGTCTGAGGTCCCTCCACCTGCCACCACCCCCAGCCAGCAGACAGCCCCAGCAGCGTGCTCACCTTCAATCTCAGAAATCCGCTTCTCCGTTTCCTTCTCCATGATCTTCTGCTGGTAGTGAATCCTGGCCACCTGTGCAGCCTTCTCTGCCTCTGCAACCACAACAGGCTACACTGGGAAATCTGCTTCTCAGGCTTGAGCACCAGCACCCTGACCCCAGCACCTGGCTGCAGGGTCTGCCACACAGGAGCTGGCTCCCTGCTCCCTCCCTGCCCCCTCAGTGCCAGCCTGCACTCCAAGCAGCAGTTACAGGGAGAAAACACAGTGCTGATGTCTGCAGAGCTGACATCCCATTTACAAGTGTGTTCCCTCTGGCACAGGGACATGGAGCTCCAAGCCCAAGCAGTTTTTCCAGCAGAGAGATTTCCTCCATCCCTGCTGCAGGACAGAGGTGCTCCCTGCTCTGCTGCTGCTGTGGGATTTTCACCCAGATGTTCAAAACAACTGCTTGTGCAGCCTGGCTGCACCTCCCTCAGGGAGCTGCCAGTGGTGGAAGCTGTCCTGCCCCAGCTTAGCAGGGAAGGCAGGAATGGAGGCTCAGCCTGTGCTGGTGACATTACCAATGAGTGCTTTCTTCCTGTCTGTCTCTGCCTCCTTCTCCACCACCTTCTGCCTCTGGGCAGCAATCAGCAGCTTGGTCTTCTCAGCCTCCCTGCAAGGGGAGAAGTGTTATCCTGGGGAAAGGGAATGAGCAGTACACGAAAAAAGAGTACTTTGGACCTTATTAGCATGATAGACAAAATGCCTTGGCAAGAGCAAGCAGAACTTTGAGAATTAAATCAAGATTACAAGAAGATTCAATCAGACTGATTTACTGGGAAAAGAAAATGACATCAACTTCTACAAGCAAGAGATGTCTCAAATGTGTAAGTTTGCTTATGTGATGATTAACCCAATCATCGTAGTAAAACATCAGTAGTCTTCCTAGAGTTAGTATATAAGCAGTCATGCTTCGCAATAAATTTGGATTCTTTGACCATCTCAAAATCTCTCCCATCTCTCCAATCGCTGACAGAGCAGCAATGCATGCCAAGAGAGGCCACAGGGACAAGGGGCCAGCCAGCTGCCAGCTCCCTGCTCCCAGCCATGGGGACTGGCTCTGTCTGCAGCTGTATGGGCACGTGCACAGGCCAGAGAAGGGCTCATCCCCCTCTCCATCTGGCCACATCTGGATACAAGTCCAGTCTGAGGCCCTCATGATGAGGAGCAGGGCAATGTGGGCTGGGAGCTGGGCTAGCTCAACCAAAGATGAAAGGAGATCCAGCAGCATCTCCTTTTGCCCAAAGGCATCCCAGAGATCCTGGAAGGGAGCTAATGAGCAAGACATCAAGAGCCCTGATTTCAGTATGGAAATGGAAAACAGAAGGCACAAGCACATCTGGCCAAGCACACACTGCCTGGAGCTCACCTCTCACTCCCTGAGCACCAGGGAAGAGCTTTCCAACAGCACTGTGCTTCTTCAGGACCCTCAAAACTAATTCATGCAATTTTATGCCCAGCTACTCACATTAGCTCGAAGTTTCTTCGGATGGCCTCTGGAATTTTGGGTTTTGTAACACGCACAGCCTGTGAGAGAAGAAAAAGGGAGCACATTTTGGATGAAACATTTTGATGCAATCTGAACAAGCAAGACATCTCTTTGCAAAACCAGCTGCAGTGCTGTGGACAGTGGTGCCTAATCCTCCTGTGTAACACAGCTGAGCATAGTCACTCTCCCAGAGATCTCCCACATTCCTCCCACATTTCCATTTCCTGCTATCTGTTCCAGCCCCCACTCCCACCAGAGGCAGAGGCTCCAAACCCTGTCCAACCTGACTTTGGGCACTGCCAGGGATCCAGGGGCAGCCACAGCTTCTCTGGGCACCCTGTGCCAGGGCCTGCCCACCCTTAGCATAAAACATTCATCTTTCAGTTTAAAACAGTTTTAGCTTGTGCTGTCCCTGCAGGCTTTGTCAAAAAAGTCTTTCTCCACCTTTTAAAATCTCTCATTATTGAAAGGCCACAACCCACCTGGATAGTGAGACCTGGTGCCATGACATTGAGATCTTTCTGCAGGGCCAACTTCAAGTTCTCATCTATCTGATCTGTGTTTGGAGGATAAAAGAGAGAGCAGTTGGTTTATCACATTTTGCCCCACAGCTTGTGTGTGGCAAAGAGCCAGCAGGCCTTGAAGTGCACATAACTATAGAGTGTCAGATGAGGAAGCTTCCTGAGACATTCAGTACATTGTTTCCCTTCCCATGCCCCCTAAAAAACATTCCCAAAAGCACACTCACATGCTAAGTGACTAGAAAAGTTCAGCTGTTGATGGGTTTGTGTTATCTGAATTAAGTGCAAGTGGCTTTCAGCATCTCAGCAAGAAAGAATGCTCAGAGCCTGTGGTAGAAGTCTATCCCTCCTCAGCACTTGGAGTACATTAATATTAAAATTCTGACAACCTTTTACCTGCCATAAGCCATTTCCCTGCTGCTCAGCCACTCAAGAAGGAACAGAACCTGTTTTGTCTTTGGGGAACAGGCCCACCAAGGAGAATATGACCTGTGCTAATTCCTGAAGCACTGCTACCTCCTGTGAAAAACCTTCCAGCTCTCACTTGTTACAGACAGCCAGGAGGAAGCTGTCAAAGTGCAAAAGGGAACTCAGCAACAGAGCAGGGGATTAAAAGCAGAAGCAGAACAAGACAAATCCACTGCCATACTGAAGGCCACAGGCATCAAGGCACGCACAAGAGCAGAGTGGCTTTTTTGTGCATCCAGAAAAAAAGGAAAAAGACTGAAATCGAATTCCCACATGCAGATGGGGAAAGACAAAGACACCTGAGTCACTGAAGTTACAAGGGAAGTGGCAGATGGATGTAAAAGGAGCTGGATACTACACTGGAACTCCAGCACAGGGACAGTGTGGCCCAAGGGTACAATATCCTGTAAGATGTTCCAGGAAGACCCCAGTGGGATCCCAGCTGGGATCACCCAGCTGCCAAACACTTACCAAACAGCTCGATGTACACCTCCTGCAGGGTATGGGCACTGCAGAACTGGTTCAGCTCGTGGTGGATTTTGTTGAAGATCAGGGTCTTGTCGTAGTCAGCGGTGTAATTCCTCACGATGTCGTACACTGGGGAAGGGAGAGAATCACCACAGGTCACCTCTGGCACCTGTCAGGGTGTCAGGGAAGGAGTGCAGCACTGGGACAGGGCTTTCAGGACCACAGCTGCCCTACCCAGCTGTCAGGGGCTGCTGGGATTACACAACCTCAAGGAGCAGTCATGGCAAGGTGCACTGCCTGGTCCTGTTTTATCATCTGCATAAACAAACGAAACAGCAAAGCCTCACCAGGACCTGCATGCACAGGAGCAGGTACTGCTGTGAACTGAAAGCAAGGATCACTCCCATCACTTAAGCCAACCAGATCCTGCACCAAAAGGAGCGTGGCCAGCAGGTCAACGGAGGGGATTCTCTCCCTCTGCTCCTGCTGAGACCCCACCTGGAACCCTGTGCACAGTTCTGGCCTGCTCCCCCCACAGAAGGAGGGCATGGAACTGTTGGAGCAGGTCCAGAGGAGGCCATGGAGATGCTGAGGGAATTGCAGCATCTTCCCCATGGAGCCAGGCTGGGAGAACTGGGGCTGTGAGAAGGGGGTGTGGAGACCTCACAGCTCCTTCCACGGCCTGAAGGGACACAGGGGAGCTGGAGAGGGACCCTGCATCCATAACTGGAGGGACAGGACACAGGGAATGGGTTCAGACTGACAGAAGGGAAATTTAGACGGGATACTGGGAAGGAATTGCTCCCTAGCAGGGTGGGCAGGCCCTGGCACAGGGTGCCCAGAGCAGCTGGGGCTGCCCCTGCATCCCTGGCAGTGCCCAAGGCCAGGTTGGACAGGGCTTGGAGCAGCCTGGGACAGTGGAAGGTGTTCCTGTCATGGCAGGGGGTGGAACAAGATCATCTTTAAGAACCCTTCCAGCCCAAACCCCTCCACAACTCTATGAATAACAACAGGAATTCACCCTCCAGCACCCCAGCAATGCTGGAGTTTTGCATTAAGCTGTGCTGCTGAACAAAACAAGCTGTCTGTGTCTTTGGCATGGCGAAATAAGAAGGTAAGAGGCTCCTGCATGGGTTCTGTCACTGCAATTTTCTCAGGAGCTGAGCTGGAAGCACCTGGGACCAACACTACAGGACCAGGAGCTGGAAGGGTAACAAGAAATGGAAACAGGGAAGTTCTCCAGGCATGGAAAAGGGAAGTCCTGCAAACCAAGACAGAGCTGCCCCAGGATGAGTGAAGACAGTCACAGCTCTGCCTGTTGAACCAGGATGGGAAATTACCTGCATATGGGGCCAGCTTATTCACAACTTCTATTCGGTCAATGTAGATCATAACACCACCACTGCAAGGGAAAAGAGAGCTCATCAGCCCACTGCAGCTGCCAACAGCTAACAGATTTAAAGCAAAGGCATCTTTATCCCTCTTTTACAACATTCTGAGCATTTTGCAATGAATCCCAGCGAATCCCAGTCCCCCTCTCTGCATAAATCACAAGCACACTCCAGCAAATCTGCAAAGCACTTTCCTTCCCATTTCTGGTTTCCCACTCAACCAGCCAAAGGAAAGCTTCTCTGTAGAGGAATGTAGCTGCAGCTCTCAGGAAAGCAGAGGGGAAGGCAGCAAGGACAGCAGGTGACACCTGCCACCAAATGCAGACACACCTCAGCTCTTCTAGGCAGCAACACATGTTAAACAGAAAAAGCCCTTAATTTAATTCACAGTCACTAACTCCAGCAGGAGCTTGGCAAGGCCCAGTAGAAAGGAAGGAACAACACACAGGGCAGACTTCAATCCCTGTTCCCAGCTCCAGTGTCTCCTGGTGCTCTCCAGGAGCACCACAAGCACCTCAGCAGAGGGAGCCTGCAGGCAGTCCCCTCCCCAAGAGAGGATGGCAGGGAAAAGGGGGAATCAGAGGTCAGGCTTGTCCCCAGCCTCTGCTCTTACTGGTGTGGCTTTCAGAAAGTCCTGCCCACCCCTGGGTTTGTGCTTTTCCAGAGAAAAGCACAAACTCTACAGCGAAGAAAAAACTCCACAACTTTCAACAGCTCAAGTCTCTTGAGAGCCTAATTTTAAAGCAGAATACTCCTGTTATGATGTCCTTGGGACAAAGGCATATCACAGACCAGAAGCTTCAGCAGGAACTGTTTAGAGACAGCTCATTCCTCGCAGTGCAACTCCCACATTCCCAAACTCAGGCTCTGTGATGTTTTATCTCAAACATATCCCCCACGACAAACTCCATTTCTTATTTTGCAGATCTTGATCTCTGGCAGCTCAGAGCCGAGTCTGCAGAAAAACAACCTGAACTTGCCTGTGTCTGTGCTCTTTTGGAAAAGGCCTCCCAAGCCCAGCCCGTGCTTGCTCCAAACCTGCTTCTCTCATGACAAATACGAGCTAAAAACACTGGTGATGGATGATGTGCTGCAAATCTGGCATTTCAATTTTAAAGGGATGTTAGAAAGAAAAGCAGAGTGTCTGCAGCACCCTGGATCCTGTCAGGACTCATCCACAGCCCCGTATCACCTCCCTGGCAGGAAAGGCTCTGAAATGGCACCTGAGGCCAGTGAGGGCTGCCTGACTCTACCACCACCTTCCACAAAAACCCTGCTGAGGATCTCAGCCAGTCTGGGACAGTAAGTGGGATATTATCCACTGTTATTCCATTATTATGAATGATTCGTAAGTGTTTATGTGGTGTGGTGGGGGATAAGTACATTTTATCAGTCCTGCTGGTCATGCAATGGCTTTGAGGAAACAGGTGCCACTCGGACCCCAAAGTCTGCAGGGAGGGAGGAACAAGGAGAAACCCATAAAAAAGGACATAGACTTTGTGAACTTGGGAGAATTTTAAGCATAATGAGGCAGCAGTGCTGCCTGACCTGACAGGACAAGGAGCCAGCATCCAGGGAACGCCACAGGAGATGGACACAGGTAGCAGGAATGTTACACTGTGACAAAAAATAACTTACAGAAGCAGGCTAGATGTAAAAGAAAGAAAAGAACCTAAAAAAGCAAACTTTATTTTCTGACTCCACTACATACACGATAGTAAAAATGACAGTGGATTGGAGGGTGAAACTGCCACCTCTCCAACCACACTGGTCAACTGGTTCATCAATTCTGTCAATTTGCAAAGAAGAATGCAAAACAAACATTATTTACATGAATATGCATGAGAAAACTCAGTTGAAATATTAGAAGGCATAGGAACTTTTAGAAGAACTTTAAAACTCTCAAAAGAACAGGGCAACACAGAAAGCCCCTGGAAAGCCTCAGAAAACTCAGGGCCTAACTCAGGCTTTAAAATCTCTGTTTCAGGTATTCACTGAATGCTGCCAGGTACAAACAAGACAGGTAAGGCAAACACTGGGGATGGGACACCCACACAGACACTCAGAAGCTTCCTGATATAGATAAGGACACAGGGAACAGGAACATAAAGAGAAACCCAGCCTTTAAAATGTGATGCTTTACTATGCAAACACAAAACCTGAAACTGTTTAGGATCTATTCTGGTAGCAGACTCTGAACTGGGACAGTGACAGTGCAGGTGTGCTCCATTTGTTATTTATAAGCTCATGTTTTACTATGGAAATGTGGATGCAAAGCTTTGGCATCGAGCAGCCGCAGACTTTGGAAGCCAAATGCAGCCAACTGAAAGGCTCCTGCAGCAACACCTGGGGAATGGACAGGGCTTCTGGGCCCTTTGGTCAGGAATGCAATCAATTATTAACTGAGAACTGCTTTCACCAGCTGCCTGCTGGTTAAGGCTCATTTTTACTGCCTGAACCTTCCCAACCACCTGCATTGCACAACTGAACCCCACAATGCTCAAATTCAACAGGAACTCCATTTTTAGCTCTGGAATCACCAAAGCACAGAATGGTTGAGGCTGGCTTTGGCCTTAACCTCTGACCTATTGACCTTGTTTACCTCTGCACAAAAGGACTCTGGACAAGGGCCTGAAGTGACAGGACAAGGGGGAATGGGCTCAGACTGACAAGGGAAATTTAGGTCAGATATATGGAAGAAATTTTTGGCTGGGAGAGTGGGCAGGCCCTGGCACAGGGTGCCCAGAGCAGCTGTGGCTGCCCCTGCATCCCTGGCAGTGCCCAAGGCCAGGTTGGACAGGGCTGGGAGCAGCCTGGGACAGTGGAAGGTGTCCCTGCCATGGCAGGGATGGCACTGGATGGGCTTTGAGGTCCCTTCCCACCCAAACCATTCTGGGATTCTGTGAAAGCTGCAGCACTGAACACTACCATTATTTACAGAGACTCCTGAAAACCTTTGATATCTGAAATTAAAACCATGAAACCTCTATGGTAATATTTAAGCCCAAGCGATGTCTGATGCTGAACGACTCCAAGAAAGTTAATATGGGTTAAACCTGATCAAAATTAACTCTGTTTTATTAACATTGCCACTAAAATTCACCTTTTAATTTCAATGTGGTCACTGTTTGTCACCACTCCAGCCACCACTGATTTAATTTTTTGAACAAAAATTTTGTTGAGGACCCTGAACATAAAAGACAAGGAAAATCACTGGGTTTTTTTTTACCCTGAAGAGTCATCACTTTAACTTGTGGACGAACCAGCACAACAGGATCTGTAACCCAACTCAACCAGCCCTCTCCTCCTGCTTGCTACAACTCCAGCAGGTCTGTGCTGACAGAAGAATCAGCCTGACTATCAGGAATTTCATTTGGAAATGAACTCCTTCCCATCAGGAGGATTCCCACTCCCTGTTTCCTTCTGCCTGCTGCTGGGGTCAGCACCTGTATCAGCCACAGGACTCAGAGTGGAAATGACCAGTCTGAGGGCAGAGCAGAGCACAAGCAAGGGAGTGTCAGAGAACTGAGGGGAGAAGCCCAGAAAAATTCAAGATAACATCACAATAAATGCAAACATGCTATGAACAGCTCCAGCAAGAGTCAGTGCTCCCTCCTGTTGTTACAGAGGGATAAATGTGTGTACATCTGGGATTAATTCTATGGCAGGTGCCTTTCCTTCCCGATCCCTGTGTCCCAGCACTGCAAAGGACCCCAAGGAGTGCATCTAGAAGAAATACAAGTGGAAGCCATACCTTGTCCCACAAGGCACATTCTTCACTTCATCAGTCTGCAGCGTGGTCTGCAACACAAACACAGGCACTGTTCACAAACCTGACTCCAGGAAGGCCCAGACTCCCACAGTGGCACCACAGAGCCAAAAGCATGTCCTTTGCCACCCCTGTGATGCCTGCAGGTGTGGGCAGAAGGCAAAGCTTCTCCTCCCCTGCCTTTTGGGGGATGCACAGGCAGCTGTGCCTGTTTCCCTGCTCTGGAATGCGCTGCTGCAGGGGAACAGTGACAGCCACAGACATGGACTGTCCTGCCTGAGCAGGACACTGCCACTCCCAGCGGTGTCACACACACACACACACACACACACACACACACACACACGGTGGGGAGAGCTTTCCAAGGGGACAAGTGTGGCTCCCCAGGGCAGGGAGAGGGCACCGACCTGCACGGATTTGAAGGTGGTGATGAACGGGAGCATGATGTGGTAGCCAGGGCCGCTCGGGCTGGTCAGCAACGCTCCACCCCTGAGGAGAGGGAGGAAAACAGGCTCAGGAAGGTGCAAACAGCAAGGGCTGCCTTTGAGAACAAGCAGAGACAGCTCGAACTGCCAGGGGTCACAGAGAGTTGCATCAGTGCCCTAAATTCGCCAGCAATTCCACAGAAAAAGGGCCGAGTGCACCTGATCTTTGCCTGCTGCAACTTTGCGTAAAGCCTGCGAGCCATTAACTCTTGGAGCAGGCAGCTATTGCCAAACCCTCCCAACATTGCAACACTGCACAGAGCTGCAAGAACACAGACCTCTCCTCTCTAAATAGTTCAGTGGTAACCATGGAAAAATCCAGCCACGGATGTGATGCTGCCAGCTTGGATTTCGGCACAGCCCCTCGCCCAGAGAAAAGCCCCCTGGGGTGTTAATGCTGAACACCATTGTGGTCAAAGGAAAACATCCACGGTGCTGAGCAGGAAGGTCAGGGAAAGCATTCCAAAGCAGCGACACAGCAGGAGCTCTGGCTGGGCGACTGCTTGGGACAAAGGTGACAGCTCTTGCTGGCACAGGGGGAGATCAACAGATGCGAGGAGGGACAAGGAGAAGCTCTGAGATCAGTGTGAGAGGGCAGGGAGGAAGGAGGGGCAGGAGAAGCAGCCGAGGGCTCAGCCAGCCCAGCACACGCGGGCTCTGCACGGGGCGAAGGGAGCAGAAGCAGCACGGGTGCAAACCCTGGGGGAGAACCGGAGGGAGCCCAGGGCAGAGCGACCCGGGGCGCCGAGCTCCGGAAGGGCTCCGTACCTGTAGTACACGGCCAGGTGTCCCTCCTCGACGCGGTGGATGGCGGAGTAGAGCAGGAAGACGAGGAGCCCGCTGGCAGCCGCGGCCGCCGCCCCGGCCTGGGCCATGGCCATGCTCGCATCCCCTCCCGGCGCCGGGCTCCGCGGGCCCTGCCCGGCACGGAGCGGCGTCAGCGCCGGGCCCGGCACCGCCCGGCACCGGGACACGCCCGCACACACGGGACAGGGACGGGACAGGGCCCGCGGGGACTGCCCCGGCACCGCCCGGCCCCGTCCCCGTGCTCCCCATCCCGCCCGTATCCCTACCCTGTACCTGCCCCTACTCCATAACGACCCCAATCCCTGTCTCAGACCCGTTCCTTTACCCCAATTCTTGTCCCATCCCTGTCCCACAGCCCTCCCAATCCTTTATCCCAGTCCCTGTCCTGTTCCTGTCCCTATAATCTCAATCCCAATCCCTGTCCCTACCCTTTACCCTAATCTCTGTCCAGTTCCTTCGTCCCAATCCGTTTCCTTTATCCCAACCCCTGTCCTGCTTTTATCGCAATCTTTTACCCCGATCCCTGTCCCGTACCTGTTCCTGTAGCCCAATCCCTGTCCTGTTCCTTTATCCTGTTCCTTTATCCCGATCCCTGTCCCGTACATTTACCCCTATCCCTGCTGTCCCGTATCTGCCCTGTTCCTTTACCCCGTTCCCCCGCTCCCCGTTATCCCGTACCTGTCCCGTTCCTCTACTCCGTTCTCTGTTACCCCGTTATCCCGTACCTGTCCCGTTCCCTGTTATCCCATTCCCCCGTACCTGTCCCGGTCCTTTACCCGCTCCCCGTTACCCTATACCTGTCCCGTTCCTTTACC